GCCGCCCTGCGACCGTGCGTCCGCCCTTCGTCTGGCCTGCGCATGCCACACGGGGTGGAGGATTCGAGCTTCACGGAAGAGGAGGATGAGGTGGAGGAGGAGGAGGAGGCCCGGCAAAACAAGTATGAGGAGGATGGAAGATGGGGGAACAGCATGATGGTTCAAAAAGGAGGTTCTTTACAGGAAGAGTGGGCAAGGTATGACGATGGGAGAAGAGGATGCTGTGGACGAATTAGGGGGTCCTACTTTGGAGGTGCTCAGAATAAGCTGCCTCCACGGTGCTTCGTCCATGCGTACTATCTACCCCGCATCACCACGGCGGCTCACGGTTGCTTTGTACGTTTATCCGCTCACTGACACACACAAACACATTATATATGCATATATATACACATACATGCATATACATCTACACATTCACATACTTATACTATAAATATGCGTAGACAGATCCAACTATTGATGATACATTGCACCACCTATCGTATTGCACTATGTTGTATTCAATCATGTTATGATGATGAATGATTGTGTGTTGCATCATGTATACATCAGGTCATATTATATCATTTCACATAACGTTATATGATTTCATATCAGGTCGTAATATATTGTATTCCAGCATGTTCTTGTTGTCATTGCATTCTAGTCTACTATGTAAATGCACATCAACGTAACATTGTTTACCATGTTACATTCTAGTATTCTATTGCATACTAGATGTCATCGCAGCGTGCCATGTAATATCAGCTTTTTGTGTTTCATTGTATATCAGATTTTGTGCTATTTTAATTCCTTTGAGTTTTATTGTATCATGACATCGCATACTTCATTGCTTGTATTATAGTGTAGTGTTTTAAGACGAGTAAGCATGTGCTATAGTTTACGAGTGTATCTTCTATCATGTTATTCTACGTTGTATCATGGTTTAGTCGATTCTACTACAACTTACCATATGACTGCATATCAGATTTTAGTGTAATAGGTTGTATCCAAAGTTTGTCATTCTGTTTTAGCTTGTTTTGGCTTCTTATACCATAACATATATAACATATTGTAGTATAAGACAACCTATTCCATTACATCGTATTGAGCTGTCAGGTGTTTATCGTATTCTCGTATACCACATCGTACCGTATCATATTATTCAGTCTTACAGTGCAGTGTACCATAGGCTTTTATCATATATTGTATCAGTATTATATCATATACATCGTAATGTAATGTTAGATCATATTCTATATATGTTCGAATATTCCATTATATACACATATTATTAAACACAATATTTTCATATCGTATCATATCATGCTGTATCCCATCATCTAGAAGCGTATCATATCACATCATTTGTTGTTGTAGATATAAGCATGACGTATGATAGTTTTATACATTCTATCCTGCTCTATTGTCTCATATCATACAATTCCGATTCCTGTATTTTCATTACCCAGAAGCTCCCCTCCCCCTACGCGGGGACACCCCCCAGGGACGCCCCAGACGCCTTTTGGACGTCTCGGCGGCCCCCGGACGCCCTTCGAAAAGGTCCGCTGGCCCTTCTGGGCTTCCCGGGGCGGCTTGCCGAGCCTTGCGAGCAGACTCAAGGCGTTCCGAGGGGTCATCGGAAAGGCGCAAGAGAGATTCAAGGCAGCACGAGATCGCTCCAAGAGGAACCTCGATGGTCTGAAGACGGCTCAAAAGACCCCCAAGACGCCCCAAGAGAACCCCGAAGAAGCAACAATCGTCCCATTCCCTGAGGGACATGTGTATTTTTAGCATATCCGCTTTTTGGGTCTTCGCAACGTTCAAGACGGCCCGATGGGCCCCCGATATCGCCCCAAGCCCAAGAGGTTCCCCAGAGGGCTTGAAGACGGCACAAGATGGCCCCAAGACTGCCCCAGAGAGCTCCGAGACTGCCCACAAGAAACCCAAAATGCCCCTAGAAGGCTCCCAAGACCCATGAAAGCCATGGGAGACCCCTACGAAGGCCACTGGAGGCCCCGAAGAGGGCCTTAGATGGCTTCAGAAGACCTCGGGAAGGCCCCAGCTCCCCAAGACGGCCCAAGGGGCCTACGAAGGCCCCAGGACGGCCCAGGAGGGCCCCAGGACGGCCCAAAAGAGCATCCACAACGCCCAGACGGCGTTCTCCTACGAAGTACACGAATTACATCGACCTGACCCGACTATCTTGGTTCCACGCTTGAGGCTCGAGGTGAAAATTCTTCGATCGAGAGAGATAGGCAATAGATCTACATTCGAAGTTCGACGATCGAAGATTTTCCGAGTGCCTGGGGCCCTCCAGGCATTCAGGAAGCGACCAACAATCGATTTGTTCGGAGCTACTGCGCTACCTCCTCCCATGAGAAGCGGTGCTGAAATAAACGATGATGTATTGCTTTGCCAGGGAAGCGTCCGGAACAAGGCGCATGTCGCGAAGCGCCAATGCAGTCTTGTGTTATATTATTTGCCATTCTATGCTAGTCTATGATCTGATGTTCGATTAGATTTGGTTGTATTGCATTATGCCATACAATATTACATTAGTTCGTATCACAATATACCATAATACAGTATACTACATGGTTTCAACTTATTTCTAGTATTTCAGTTTTCAATACTATATGATACTATGTGACGACATATCATATTACATTGTATTATTATATCTAATACCATATACATATATAACAAGTCATCATTTCATTTTATAGTATTGTGTACCATATCATATCATATTGTGTAGCGGTGTATTCTGCTACGTTGCTTGTGATATTTAATCATATCAAACGACATTATATGTCAGTTTCAGTATGTACTACTATATGACACCATTTTTATTGTCTAATATATTGTGCTGCATTATATATTCATTAGTTTGGAGTACCGTATAATTTATTATTGTGTGTCATATTATATCACACTATATTGCATTAGTGGTACCGTGCTCATGTATATTATAACATATCAAAGTATATCGTATTTTTTGTACCATTGAATATCTTCTATTTGTGCTACAATATTGTATTTGGTAATGCTTTTGTGTATCATTATGTATGTTTGTGTATTCTGTTTAATTGTATGTAAATAGTACCCATATACAACATACACATGGAGGGTCTTCGTTCACTCAGCACACCACTGTGCACTGCTAAAACGTGTCCTCGGTTCAAGGGGTCTAAGAGCAATGCCTGCCAATTCGAAGTGTATTTTTGAACATTCGCGTGACCCCACCAGCCCATCCAGTGTCTAGTATCTTTTTTTTTTCTTGCGTTCGATCTACTCTGTGTGATCGGGCGTGGTGTCATTTGTGCTGGCATTGTTTTCGGTTTCTTTTATTACCAGACCTGGTCCCATCTGATTGTGGATATGGGTGGACACATCCGACGATTTGCAGACGTGCGATCTGTCAAGTGGTCCCGTCTTCTCCTCCTACGTTTCTTATCTTAGTACCCTCCATCGGCCTCCACCTTCCCTGCCCTCGAAGTCATTACCCTGCTCTTGTTCTCTTGCCACAAACTGTGTCCTTGCGCCTCTTCCTTTCTGATGTGTCCACTTATGCCTCCCGTGCCAGCGATCGGAGCTTATCCATACACAACTGCTTCCTACGACTCTGGACGTCGAGGGGGTTCGACATGGATAACAACTTCCCCTTGAGAGGCAATCTGTTAGTCCGTATCCTTCTCCCGCCAAGCGCACAGCTTCTCTGGCTGTTTCCCAATGTGGGCGAGGCTTTTTGTCGCATCGTTGTTGGTCCACCTCGAGCTTATCCCGTGCGACTTGTTGACCACCTCGAGCCCGTGCGGCCCCTGGTGGGTTTCCACAGGTCGCCGCGGCCTTTTGCTGCAATCCTGGGCCTCCTCGAGCTAGTCCGGCTTCTGGAGGCGGCGTGGCCCCAGCGGGCCCTGTGCCTCGCCGGCACGCGGCTTGGCACGGCTTCCGCCCTGGCCCTTTGCTCAGCCTGGCAGCCCGGCAGGTGCTGTCAGACCCCGCCGGCCTGCATCTTGGCGGCCGGCCGGCGCGCCAGGCCTGCCCCTGCCGCCACCTGTGGTCGATGTGCTGCATCTATTCTTGGCGGTGGCTCCTTTCAGGAGGAAAAGAAACACACAGACACAATTAATCCTCCATTCCCCAGAAAATATGGGAAAATGTGGGAAGTGGGGGGGAAGACAGAAACCCAGAAAATACGGGAAAATATGGGGAATCTTTTTATTTGTGTGTATTTATTTGTGTGTCCTGGTGCCCCTTCATCCTTCCTCTCATTTTCCTCTGCTTGCTCCCCCCCCCATCCCCCAAGGGCGCGCCATGTCTGGCGCTTCTCGGCTTCGTTCTGCCGGCAGGCCGCCCTTGGGCCTGAGCCCTGCCTCCCACCCTCCTGCCCCGGTGGCCGGCCCTCGCCCGCACCGCCCGGCTGGCTCTAGCTCCCCATGCATGCGGACCAGCCCTTGTGGCAGCCTGGTGTCGCAGTACCTGGCAGTACCCTTGCGAGGCCGTCCACCCCGCGCGTGACGCCCTCCTGGCGAATCCCACGCCCTGGTGTTGCATCAACGTTGGTCATGCTTCTCGGATCGCCGCCGGCTCGCATCCTGGCTCAGCTTTCTTCCTGAACGCCCCTGGCCGCAGCACGCCGCCATCAGGTTTTCATGATCCGAAGGGGCCGCCTTCCTTCCCTCTCGTGTCTCTATGTGTTAGTCTGGGGTTAGGAGTTGCCTTGCTTTGTTGACCTACTCGCGCGATCGCCGTGTCTGCGACATATGAATTCATCCGTGCACCCATTCTGCCCCCTCGCGGGAATTAGACTTGAGCAGGGATATCTACGTAACACCATCGCTTTTTATCCGTAAGGGCTTCGCCCCCTGCCGCCGGCCCCCTCTCTTGGAGAATGGGCCATGGAAGAGCTAAGTCATGAGGCCTTGGCGCTGTCGTGAAGCAGTAACGAAACTTCATGCGAAGCCGATTGGCAATCCGCAAAACCAACTGATCACAAGAGGGGTTACCACACC